TAAATTAACGTAATTATAAATATGGATGACAGCAACAATCGGGGTATAGAAAAGAAACTGAGGTGAGCTTTATTTTTGAAACAATAAAAGGAAAGGACAACAGACTTGAGAGTGGGGAAAATACATAATATATTAATAAATAATGCAGTGAAAGGACACGTGAGCAAATTCTGTGGGACAGAAAGTAAATTAACAAGTTATTACGAGCAGGAAATCAAAGGATAAACAGATAGTATGTTAAATGTGTGTGACCAATCAGGCGTGAGATCGTGTGAGATGAGAGACAGATGAAGGGCGCGCGAGATGAAAAAACGAGACAGACGATGTTCAGACACGGTGTGAGTCAGATGTAAAAGGGAAAGCTATTTGGTTGCGGGAAGAATTAGACTGAATTGTGATTTTGCACAGGTGATGTTTTAAGGTAGTAAGTGCACAGTTAGCAAGAAAATATAATTACGTGTGTGTCATTATTGTAGTTTTCAAATGGGATATTTGTATAATTATATATACGATTCACAACTTAGTACATAATGGAATGTTGATAACTGAAGTAAGTTTATTATTTATGAGTAAAAAACAAAGAGAGTTCCCAATCCTAGGAAATAAACAAATTACTTTACGTAAATATTTCGCTACCGAGTATCTGTATAGACGTATAGGTGTTGTGGTAAGATATCTTTGGCATTTTTAAAATAATTAAAGATGTTGTCATTGCCAACAATGTTTTTTAATTCAATAGCAGCTTTCGATGGCTTAGCCATCATCATCAGTTGTCTGCTAGATGGAAGCCACACAACGACTACGGCCTATTGGATCCACAGATATATAAATTTGTATCATAACGGGCGATCTTGGGATAACCTTCGGGCAACAGTCGGGTTAAATGTGAAATTTTAACGTACATTGAGGAGAATAATTAAATAGTACCAGTCAGACAAGGGTGCTGGGTCCGAAGGCGCCGCGTATCCTGCGCGACACCGGCCGAGAGGCGAACAGCCTCATTCACTGGCCCTAACTAGGGAAAGAACCGGAACCCGCCGCCTTCACCTTCCGCGCGCTGCCCCGCGACGCTCTTGCTACCTCGTGCGAGCAAGCAGAGGCAGCCGAGTTTTTTCAACTTTCCCCCGACAGAAGCCCTGGCGAGGCGAGAGTTTATTGTCATGTTGGGGTACATGCGCCGCAGCTCTTTGGTTTACGCGGCAAATAAGGGTGAAGTGTTACTTACTTATTTCTAACTTAACCTAAGGATGAAAAAGGCACTTTGGCCGGCAAACTAAGATTTGCACTAACTCTTTGTTGGTATTTTATTTGATGATTTATTTGATTTTGTTTTCTAGGTATTCTTTTTTCATTCACTCGCACATTTACACTGGGTTCTATTTACACTTGACACACACACTTTCACACGACACTATATACACTGTAATAACACTATTTACACTGCGCTGTGGGACACGGAGGGGGCTTTGCTCCAAGCGTCCGTGGCGGTTAGGCATAATGTGCCCTGGCAATTGTAACAGGTGGTGCCTCACTCGTCCCGCTGGGAGCCTC